GAAACTCACACCCAGAACAGCGCCCTTACCCTGAACCCCCCAAACCTCCAAACCTTCAAGCCCCCCGTAACTTGAAACAACTCAAAACTTAAAGCAGAGACTCGTTTAAACTCAAGAGTGCAAGATGGTAGTTTGCAAGAACATTCTTCGCAGCCCAGAAAACAGATTATAGTAAGGGTTCCCTGTTTTGGGGTTGGTTAGCTACTTGCTGAGGGAACCTTATAACCATGAAAGGGCACAAGGATACCACTTAGGGCTGCCTTCTATCCTTGAACCCTACACCCTAAAGCCCTTAAAACAACCCTAAACCCTAAACCCTAAACCCCATGTGAATGTGGCTCCTAGAATACTCGAAAGGCCCAAAAACCCCACTGCGCCTCCGAGGAAGCCACGCGGGCCTCTGCCAGAGATGCAGGAAGAGGAGGCGCGGCTTTTACCCTATAGGGTTTAGGGTTTGGGGTTTAGGGTTTAGGGTTGTTTAGGGTTAAGGGTTTGAGTTTAGGGTTAATCTCTTTAAGCCCTTAACCCCATGAAAAATGCTCGTGTGCATTGTGCCAAACATTCGTGGGCATTGTGCAAAAGATTCCTAGGCATCGTGCCAGCCCTGCCCCACCCCCCCCCCCCCCCCCCCCCCCCCCCCCCCCCGGGCCCCTCCCCTGCCCACCCCCGCTACCCTCTTGCCACACGCACCCCATGCCTGCCCTTGGTCTGGCACTCTGAGGATACTTGTTTGAGGCCTATTGGGCCTAAACCTATTGGCTTTGGCTTTGGGGAATGAGCTTTGGGATTTAGCCTTTTGGGCCCCTGCCTTGGGCTACTGGGTCTTGGCCTTTGGGATTATGGCTGTAAAGGGTTAGGGCCTATTGGGCCGATTTTGAGGATTTAGGGGCGTTAGGGTTTGGGGCCTGCAGGCTTTTGGCTTTAGGATTTAGGGATTTGGGCCTATTGGGCCTTGGGTTTTAGGGTTTCGGGGTTACTGGGCTTGGGCTTTAGGATTTCGGGGCTACCGGGCCTTGGCGTTACTGGTTTGAAAGGAAGGCTAGCTTGAAATGTGAAGTGAAATCCTAGTGTACCCAATGGGCGGATGGGTACTCTCCGTCACTTCACAAGCTGCTTGACTGGTGAGTGCTTGGGCTTGAGATGCCGAAGCCCAAACCCTAAACCCCAAACCCGAAACTCTGGGAGCTCCATAAAACCGCTCAACCCACGCATGCCGCCGACCCGCGGAAGTACCTTCAACCCCCCCCCCCTGCTTGGAGGTTCATGGGTAGTTATAAGCAAGGCTCTATATGTTCACTAGTTGCCATGATGAGAACCTTCAGCCCCCATGCCTGAACCCCTTGACCCCCTCGAAAGGATCACGCCTTGCTCCCCAAGCCTTCGAAAGAATGAAACAAAACCCTGAACCTAGATCTTTATACATCTGTACGTATACACACATATGTATATGGATATGTATTTATCTCTTCATTTAATTTAATGAAAACTTTGCGATTGTTTATGTTTATCTTAAAGACCCTTGTCTTTGGCGCCTGCAGCTCGGTGAGCTCTTGCTTGAGGCGTGTTTGCTCCTCAGAGGGCTCCGGCGCCGGAGGCGGCGGTATTTTGGGGGTTTTTTTAAGGCTCGGATGGCCCCTAAAACCTTCTGAAAAGTACTCTTGAAAAATATTCTTGAATATATGATCCCCTTAAGCCCAAATGGCCTACCTGGCAGGCTTTCCGACATTTTCTCAGTTCGCCTCTCGGCTTCTGGCCGAGAGGCATCTAGAACAAGCAAACCAGGATCTGCCCTCCTTCCCCCTGCCCTCTGGGACCGGGACCCCTCGGGACAGATCTGGGACCGAGAGACCATCCTGAAACACCTCTAGAACTGAAACCCCCCGAAGCCTTCCTACCTCCTGAAGTCATGACGTGCGTGGTGCTGCACCACTTTTGTTCACCAAAAAAAACATTCTACCTGCAGGAGCTGCGCCCCACATTGGGCCGGCCCGGCTGCCGAGGCAGCACGCGCAGAAGTTGACAACTTGTGTGTGCGTGTGCATATATATATATATATACATATGTAGATGTACACGTGCATCTGTTTTTGTATGTGCTTATGTAGAGAGAGAGAGAGAGTACTTTTGTCGGGATTTGCGGGCGATTGTATGCGGTTTGTCTTCGCAAGAGGTACCGGGGCTTAATCCAGCCAGAGCTTCCAAAGGTTTCGCTCCCCCTTCTATCCCTAAACCCTACCTGGAACTCAATTTACCTACAGTTTAGGAATATTTGCCCTTAATTAGTAGGTATAACCCATAAAACTGTAGGTAAAGAGGGCCCCAGGCAAACCCCTAAACCTAGCGCCATGATTCCCCACATAGACTACAGTTCAGGCTCTGGGGTGGAAGGCCTCCCTCAAGCCTGCACCCCACTTCTAGCGCACGTCCTTAGAACCTCAAATGCTAAAGAGAGGGCAGGTATGGGTGGGTTGTTGGCCCTGAACCCTAAACCCTGAAACTGAAAACCCTAAAGCCCTGTTTGAAAAATGCAAAACAAGAAACCCTAAACCCTAAACCCCAAACCCTAAACCCTAAACCCTAAACCCTAAACCCTAAACCCTACACCTTCAGTCTTTCGGACGCCTCCGCGGAGGAGTCCAGGATGGCGGCCGCAAGGCGGTCGTCACCTCCTTCGATGTCCAGCCCTTTGCCCTTAAACTAGAAGGTTCTTAAGGGAGGTTAGGGTTTAGGGTTTAGGGTTTAGGGTTTAGGGCTTAGGGCTTAGGGCTTAGGGCTTAGGGCTTAGGGCTTAGGGCTTAGGGCTTAGGGCTTAGGGCTTAGGGCTTAGGGCTCAGGGCTTAGGGCTTAGGGTTAAGGGTTTCTAACCCAAGGTTCCCAAATACTCCCCACTGCTCCCTGACGCTCCCTAAGCTTCCCTAAGGGGCCCTAGGTACCTACCCCCGCATGAACCTTCTCCCTTAAGGACCCTATAATTAAGCCCCCCCCCAAATGGTACTTGATCCCAGAAGAACTCTGCGCTTATTCCAGGGGGTTTGGAGCAATATGGGCATTTCCCAAGTGAGATCCCCGCACCCCCTAGCGCACCCCAAAAAGCTTCCATCTTGATTCTCCCCATATGGTGACGCTTGAGCTGCTTCGTAGGATTCACAGAAGACCCCTAAACCCTAAACCCTGAACCCTAAACCCCGAGCCCAAGACTTCACAACTCTGCCAAGTAGCCCCTAAACACCCCAAACCCGAATCAACCCCAAATACTCCCCAACAGGCCCGGGTAAACCCCAGCAAGCCCCAACACTTGGAGGTTCCCTAATATGCTTAGAAGTACAGTTAGAATTGGTAAATAAGTACCATGAACCGTGCTGCTGGGCGCACCAGACTCCGGAGACGCTGCCAACGCCTTTCCGAATCCTTCGAGTCGCATCTCGGACCTGGCACAGTTTAGGGTTTAGGGTTTAGGGTTTAGGGTTTAGGGTTTAGGGTTTAGGGTTTAGGGTTTAGGGTTTAGGGTTTAGGGTTTAGGGTTTAGGGTTTAGGGTTTAGGGTGCAGAGGAGGGACTTGGGGCTTGGGAACCCCCCAATCTGCCCTACACTCCCCAAGGCCCCCCCCAAAAAAAAAAACTTAGACACCGAAAAACCAGCACATCAGCTCCTGCACCTGAGAAGCCCTTAGAGCACTGTGGGTTTTGGCCACAAGTCTCACGCTACACAACGCCCCGTGCAGAAGGAGCCCAATGGTCATGGGTTTAGGGTTTAGGGTTTAGGGTTTAGGGTTTAGGGTTTAGGGTTTAGGGTTTAGGGTTTAGGGTTTAGGGTTTAGGGTTTAGGGTTTAGGGTATAGTCGGCCGCCACGAGACTGCAGTCGCAGCCGGCGTTCCTCGCGAATGGCTGCCTTGCGCCGGATGTCGGGTTTGGTCTTTCTCTCTCTCTCTCTCTCTCTCCTCTCTCTCTCTCTCTCTCTCTCTCTGTCTCTCTCTTCTTCTTCTACGGGGCATCAGGGCTCTCTCTCTCTCGCTCTCTCTCTGTCTCTCTCTCTCTCTCTCTCTAGCTCTCTAGCTCTCTCAAGATCTCTACGCCAGGCTGGGGGTTGCAGATTCAAAATGAAAATGGTTTCCCCCAAAATTGGGGGGGGGGCCTTTTGGGCAGTTCATGTGACAAGGCTTATATAAGGGTTATGGCATGTTGCGGGTAGATCAAGGGGATCCTTATCTACCAACTGCTTCGGAACCCCACAAAACAAACAGTAAACATTCTTCCTTACAAGGGTAATATGGGGATTACTAATTTTTATGTCCTGGGCGGTTCTTAAGCAAAAAGTAGTTATCTCTCGGGAAATAGCCACATTGGCCTGAAGAGCCTGCGCGGCACGCTCCTCTCCTTCCAGTCGCAAGTGTGCCTGTCATGTGGGTCAGTCGCAACATGCCGACATGAACGCTAAACCCTAAACCCTAAACCCTAAACCCTAAACCCTAAACCCTATAAACAAGGTGCCCTGCTGGGTCATGGGGAAAAAAGGGACCCTAAACCCTAAACCGACACGAACCCAGGAGTAACCTAGGGCTACAACAGGGTGCCCTTCTTGGCTACAAGGGGGGGTTCGAAGGGAACCTAAACCCTCAAGAAAGGAAATTTGGGCGTACTCCGGGTTCCAGTGAAAATCGGCGCCGAGGGTCTAGATGTGGGTGCACAGCGGATCTTGAGATTTGGCAGCCTTTTTTTGTACATCTGGAGCGAGCTGTTTCCGCCGATTCCGTCCTTCGAAATTGGCTTCACATGCGCGTGGAGGTGTTCGCCGGGCGAAACACCGACGCACCGAGTCCCACACGAGGCCGCAGTTGTTTCACAGCCCTGTCTAAGTCTGCACGACCCTCCTTCCTGAGGAAGGCAGCTTGAGAGAATCCTAGTTCTGAAACCTCAATACTCAACTTGTGCTTCATGTCTGTAGTTACTCTTTGATTGTAACCCACAACGACTGCGTACAAAACATGGATTGCATTCTCAACATCAGCGGCGGCGCTTCATACCGCCATCGCCTGTAGCTTTCACCTTGGCCTTGGCAGCCCCCCGCTTCTTGCCGGAGGTCCCTGTGTTCCGCGAGTCCGTCCAGCCTTTGTAGTCGAAGTAATAGTCTGCCTGACATGGGCAGCTTCCTAAATTAGGGTCCAATTTGTTGGTACCCATTCTGAGGCGGCACCCTTTAAACAGGGATCCCAAAAAGGACCCTAATTTAGAGAACTACCCACATGAGATTTCTTAAGAGGATGCGGCGAGGGCCAGTCTCGGGGCTAAGCCTTCTCTGGCCTCTTCACATAGGACCACCAAGTGCACATTACCCTTAACCCTAAACCCTAAACCCTAAACCCTGTTACGCAACACAGGGCTTCCTGCCTGGCGCATCATGTGGTCGAAGTCCTGGGGCTTGGGCACCACGCGCCCATCCCCGCGGAAGCTAAGCGTCTGGGCGTAGTCCACCTACAGGGCTTGGCAGCAAGCTCTGGAGTAGGGAGTAGGGTGTGGGGTTTAGGGTTTAGGGTTTAGGGTTTGGGTTTGGGGTTTGGGGTTTGGGGTTTGGGGTTTGGGGTTTAGGGTTTGGGGTTTAGGGTTTAGGGTTAGGGTTTAGGGTTTGGATCGGGGTGTGGGGTTTAGGGTTTGGAGTTTGCGGATGATCTGTAAAAGCCAACCTAACACTGCCTGTGCCTCGAAGGCAGAGTCCTCCCTTGAGGCAGGGTCGGACGCCGCCGCGCGCGGTGGCGAGCCAGGTGGGAGGGGGGGCCAAACTTCTGTGGGCCCGTCCATTGGTGGGAGAGGCGGCCAGAGACCCTCCTTGTTTAGTTCAGGGTTCAGGGTTCAGGGCTTAGGGTTTAGGGGTTTAGGGTTTAGGGTTTAGGGTTTAGGGTCTAGGGTTTAGGGTTTAGGGTTAAGGGTTTAGGGTTTAGGGCTTAAGGCTTAGGGCTTGGGGTTTAGGGTTTGTAAGGGTCAAGTGTCAGTCTTCCCTTTGCCCACGAGGATATCACACTTGCCTACGAAGCGTTGACACCCCTCGGTCCAAAAAAACTCATGGGCAAGCGCCATTTTTTCGCGGGCAGGTGTCAGGATTTCGTGCCCTCCGGGTTTGGGGCCTTGAGGGTTTGGGGCCCAGGGTTTAGGGCTAGGGGTTGAAGGGCAACCCCTAGGTTTTCAACAATTAAGTTGCCTGTTTACCCCTAAACCCTAAACCCTAAACCCTAAACCCTAAACCCTAAACCCTAAACCCTAAACCCTAAACCCGGCATCCTCCTCCTCTCCGAACTGGTCCAGCTCTTCCGGGGTCGGAAGCTGCGGCCCTTGGACCTCCCCCGGCTGCTCTTCCTTGAGGCTCTGCACCTTCATGGGTTTAGGTTTTAGGGTATAGGGTTTAGGGCTTAGGGTTTGGGGTTGGGGGTTTGGGGTTTGGGGTTTGGGGTTTGGGGTTTGGGGTTTGGGGTTTGGGGTTTGGGGGGCCCCCCGGACAACACACCCGGGGCCTTCTCGCGGCACTCGGTGCACATCTTCGGGCCCATCTGGGACGAGTAGATCCAGCCCTGCTGGCCACCGCTGACTTTTTTGGCCCACCACCATCCCGCTTTGCTCCATCTCAGGATCCGAAACTCCTCTCAGAGCGTGTCTGCTTCTTGGAGTTTGAACCTGCCTCCCATGCTAGAGAGACCCAAAAGAGGAAAGCCTAAACGCTTTTCCGGAGTTTGAGAACCTGCCCCGTCCATGCAAGAGGGACCCAAAAGAGCAAACCCTAAACCCTAAACCCTACACCCTAAACCCCTAAAACCCTAAAACCCTAAACCCCAAAACCTTAAAAGCCTAAACCCTAAACCCAAAAAAACCCTAAACCCTAAACCCCTCGAATCCAAGGCTCCTCGCCCACCTCGAAGCTCAAGCAGTGCTCGAAGGTACCGCTGAAGCCTTGGAGCTCAAGCCTATATGGGAGGGGGGTTAGAGTTTCCTGGCAAATCAATTTAGGCACTGCTGAGGGTTTAGGGTTTAGGGTTTAGGGTTTAGGGTTTAGGGTTTAGGGTTTAGAGTTTAGAGTTTAGGGTTTAGGGATTAGGGTTTAGGGTTTAGGGTTTAGGATTTAGGGACCCAATAAGGACCAATAGAAATTTCAGATGTACTCTAAATCCCCCCTAGGTTTAGGGTTTTGGGTTCATGGGTTTTGGGTCTAGGGGTTTGGGGTTTAGCGGGTTAGGGATTGGGGCTTATAAGGTGTGAAATGCAGGGCGCGCGGGGTGGCGTGCGCTCGCTAAACCCCAAACCCCAAACCCCAAACCCCAAACCCTAAACCCTAAACCCTAAACCCTAAACCCTAAACCCTAAACCCTAAACCCTAAACCCTAAACCCTAAACCCTAAACCCTAAACCCAAACCGGTCTGCCATACACGCAGTGGTGGGACAACTGGGGGGGCCATCCTGGGGACGTGTGGAGCAGTTTTTGTACTCTATGGGCCTGTTTTTGGCCTTTCTTCCCTAAATCCCACGCCCGAAAGCCCGAAATGAAACAAGGAATCATCAGGTATGAAGCCCCGAATCCCGAATCCTGAATCAACCCTAGATGAAAAACCCCAGACCCGGTCCTAAACCCTGCATCCCCAATCCCTGAAGCCTAAACACTAAGTCTTGGGATCCGTGCAGCCAGGCTGCTTAGGGTTCAGGATTTAGGGTTCCGGGTTTAGGGTTCCACGCTGACGGCTGATGCTCACAACAGCGCCCGCAGCTCTCGCTCTCAAGTTCGGGGTTTAGGTCTGAAGGACGTTTAGGGTTTAGGGCTCAAGGACGTTTAGGGTTTAGGGTTAAGGCTCAGGGTTTAGGGTTAAGGCTCAAGGACGGTTTAGGGCTTCCCCATAATTTTGCAAGCCTCCCCCCACCCTCCCCACTAGTGCTGCATAATCCTCCCTTTCGGTGTGGTCACATGTTGGGCGCAGAGGGCATGGGATTGAGAGTGGCTGTGGGGGGGGGGGGGTCGGGTTGCTTTGATACCGGGGGGGAGGGGGGGGGGCATTTGAGGTTTAGGGTTAGGGGGGGGGGGGGGGGGGGGCTGGTGTTCGTTTTAGAAGAGTCTGTGGGTTCTGGCCGAAGATTGGGGTGATTTAGGACTGCGGATTAGGGTTTCCAGTCTTTAGGGTTTAGGGTTTAGGGTTTAGGGTTTAGGGTTTAGGGTTTAGGATTGATTAGGTTTAGGGTTTAGGGTTTAGGGTTTAGGGCTTAGGGCTTAGGGCTTAGGGCTTAGGGTTTAGGGTTTAGGGTTTAGGGTTTAGGGTTTAGGGTTTAGGATTTAGCGTTTAGGGCTAGGACTCAGCCAAGGAGCTGGTCTTGGCAATCACCGGGAAGGACATCGGAAAGGTCTCGGAGCCCCACTCAACCCAGGCAAAGAGTTCAAGCCCCGGCCTGGACGACACTATACTCCCCTTAGAACCTTAATAAACATATTATTGTTTAACATGTTCTTGGGCTTCTTATAGATAAATATAAATAATTCCTAGGGGGCTATAGGTTAGGGGCGGTGTTGAGAGTTTTTGGGGTGTTTAGGGCTAACATGGGCTAATTAACAGGTCTCCAAAGTCTGCAGGGCCTCACCGGCTCTCACAGAAGGGCACTAGTGCTACCTGACAGCAGCAGAGCATGAAACCCCTTCAGACCCTTCTGAAGCCCTAAGCCCTAAGCCCTAAACCCTCAACACTACACACACTTGTGTGGCCCTGTGAGGCCTGAGCCAGCCTGAGCCGAAAGAGACAGGTGCACGCAGAGGTCCTTAAACCCTTCGCACTAGCGGTTTAGGGTTTAGGGTTTCGGGTTTAGGGTTTAGGGTTAAAAGGAAACAGCGCCGAAGCCAACACTTGATCACGAACACATCGCCTGAACTCCCGACACTCGCCCTTCCATTGCAGGGTTCTTAAGGGATGGGGGTTCGATACCTAGGAAACCTTAGGGAAGCTTCGGGAGCCTCTAGGGAGTAGTGGGGAGTATTAGGGAAACTTGGGCTACATC